ACGGCTGTGTATGTGGTACGTTAGTGTGTATATATGCATGTGTGTATAGTTTGCGCATGAGTGTGTGTGTTCTCCCTTTCTCCATATGGGTCCCAGGCTTGGTGGCAAGTACTTTTGCTCACTGAGTCATCTCACTCACTACCTCACTATTCTATATTGAGTCTCTGTGTGTTACAACTGTGTCTTGTGATCTACACCTATCTTTACTTATACATAAAGGTCACATAAAATCCAATTTATTTTCTTGCAATTAAGACACAATTCTGCTTGCATTGGTAGCACATATACTAAAATTGGGATGATACAGAGAAGATTAGCATGGATTTGTGCAAGAATGACACACAAATTCGTGAAGCACTCCTTATTTTTTACACAATCTGAGGCAATCATGGAGACAGAAAACTTAGGGAAGACATAGGAACTAGAGGCACAAGAATCACCAACAGAATACAAGAGATGAGAGAAAGAATCTCAGGGATAAAAGATACAATTGTAGAAATTGACACATCAGAGAAAATGCAAAATCTAAAAAGCTCTTGACACAGAACACCCAAAAAATCTAAAACATTATGAAAAGACCAAACCTAAGAATAATAGGAATAGAAGAAGGAGAAGACTCCAGGTTCCAAGACCAAGAAAATATTTTCAACAAAATCATAAAATAAATCTTCCCTAACCTAAAGAAAGAGATGTCTATAAACATATGTGGTGTTACTGAACACCACATAGATTGGACCAGAAAAGGTCATCTCACCATATAATAATAAAAACACTAAATGTGGAGAACAAAGAGAGAATATTAAAAGCTGCAAGGAACACCAAGTCACATATAAAGACAAACCTATCAGAATTACACCGGACTTCTCATCAGGAACTCTGAAAGTCAGAAGGGCCTGAGGAAGTATCTTACAGACACCAAGAGACCACAAATGTTAGCCCCAACTACTATACCCAAAAAAACTTTTAATCACCATAGAGGGGGAAAAACAAGATATTCCATGACAAAAACAAATTTAAACAGTACATATCCACAATTCCAGCCCTACAGAACAAACTAGAAGGAAAACTCCAACCCAAGGGGGCCAACTACACCCAAGAAATCACAGGTAATAAATAACCCTACATCAGCAAAACACTCTACTACCACCAACATCAAATTAACAGGGATTAACAATCATTGGACATTAATATCCCTTAACATCAATGGCTTCAATTCCCCAATAAAAAGACACAGGTTAACACAACGGGTGTGGAAACAGGACCATCATTCTACTGCATACAAGAAACACATGTCAGCAAAAAAAGATAGATATTACCTAAGAGTGAAAGGCTGAAAAAAGGTTTGCTAAGCAAACAAACCCAAGAAGCAAGCTGGAGTAGCCATTCTAGTATCTAATAAAACAGACTTTCAATCCAAATTAATCAAATGTGATAGGAAGGACACTTCACACTCATCAAAAGAAAAATCCACCAAGATGAACTATGCCCCAAATGCAAGGGCACCAACATCCATAAAAGAAACATTACTAAAGCTTAAATCACACATCAAACCCCACAAATTAATCATGAGAGTCTTCAGCACTCAACTCATTCTAATGAACAGATCAAGACAGAAACTAAATGGGGAAGTAATAAAACTAACAGATGTCATGAATCAAATGGACCTAACAGGTATCTACAGAACATTTCACCCAAACACAAGTGAATATGCTTTCTTTTCAGCACCTCATGGAGCCTTCTCCAAAATTGACCATATACTTGATCAGAAAGCAAGCCTCAACAGGTATAAAAAGATTGAACTAATTCTCCTTGTATGTCATCAAACCACCATGGATTAAAGTTGGAACTCAACAACAACAGAAGCAACAGAAAGCCTAGAACTCATAGAAACCGAACAACCCCCTACTCAATGACCACGGGGTCAGGGAAGAAATAAAGAAAGAAATTAAAAACTTTCTAGTGTTCACTGAAAATGAAGGCACAACATACCCAATATTTATGGGACACAATGAAAAGAGTTCTAAGAGGAAAGTTCATCGCACTAAGCACTTACATAAAGAAATTGGAGAGATTCCATACTAGTAACTTAACAGCACACCTGAAAGCTCTAGAATACAAGGAAGCAGACACACCTAAGAGGAGTAGATGTCAGGCAATAACCAAACTCAGGACTGAAATCAATAATGAAACCAAGAGCTGGTTCTTTGAGAAAATCAACAAGATAGACAAACCCTTAGCCAAGCTAACTAAAAGGAAAGGAAGAGTACCCAAATTAACAGAATCAGAAACAAAAAGGGGGGACATAACAAAAGACAATGAGGAAATCCAAAAAATGATTAGGTCTTAGTTCAAAAGCCTGTATTCCACAAAATTGGAAAGTCTAAAGGAAATGGATAATTTTTCTGGATAGATGTCACTTACCAAAGCTAAATCAAGATCAGCTAAACAGTTTAAACAGTCCTATAACCCCTAAGGAAACAGAAGCAGTCATCAAAAGTCTCCCAATCTAAAAAAGCCCAGGACGAGATGATTTCAGTGCAGAATTCTACCAGACATTCAAAGAAGAGCTAATACAATACTCCTCAATCTATTCCACAAAGCAGAAGCTGAAGAAACATTGTCAACCTCATTCTATGAAGCCACAGTCACCCTGATACCTAAACCAGACAAAGACACAACAAAGAAAGAGAATTTCATACCAGTTTCGCTCATGGACATTGATACAAAAATACTCAAAAAAATACTCACAAACCAAATACAAGAATACATCAAATACATCATCTACCATGATCAAGTAGACTTCCATACCAGGGATGTAGGGATGGCTCAACATATGAAAATCCATCACCCTAATCCACCATATAAACAAACTAAAACAAAACAAAACAATACATGATTATTTCATTAGATGCAGAAAAAGCCTTTGACAAAATCCAACACCCTTCCATGATGAAAGTCCTGGAGGGATCAGGAATACAAGGCCCACACCTAAACTAATAAAGTCTATAAACAGCATTCCAATAGTCAACATCAAATTAAATGGAGATAAACTCAAAGCAATTCCACTAAAATCAGGGACAAGACAAGGCTGCCCACTCTCTCCATATTTCAGCATAGTACTTGAAGTCCTACCTAGAGCAGAAAGACAACTAAAGGAGATGAAGGGGATGCAAATCAGAAAGGAAGAAGTCAAACTATCATATTTGCATATGATAGTGTATGTAAGTGGCCCCCAAAATTCCACAGATTCAGCCAAGTAGCTGGATACAAGACTAATTAAAAAAATCAGTAGCCCGCCTGTTCACAAATGTCAAATGGGCTGAGAAAGAAATTAGGGAAACAACACCCTTCACAATAGCCACAAATAATATAAAATATCTTGCTGTAACTCAAGCCAAGCAAGAGAAAGACTTGTATGACAAGAACTTCAAGTCTCTGAAGAAAGAAATTGAAGAAGATATCAGAAGATGGAAAGATTCCCCCATGCTCATGGATCAATAGGATTAACATAGTAAAAATGGGCTTCTTGTCAAAAGCAATCTACAGATTCATTGCAATCCCTATCAAAATACCAACACAATTATTTACAGACCTTGAAAGAACAATTCTCAACTTCATACGGAAAAAACAAACAAACAAAAGCAGAATGGCTAAAACAATCCTATACAATAAAATAACTTCTGGAGGTATCTCCACCCTTGACCTCAAGCTATACTATAGAGAAACAGTAATAAAAACCGCATGGTACTGGCATAGAAACAGACTGGTGGATCAATGAAATAAAAAAGCAGACCCAGAAATAAACCCACATACCTATGGTCACTTGATCTTTGACAAAGGAGCCAAAACCATACAAAAGAAAAAAGACAGCATCTTCAACAAATGGTAATGGTCTAACTGGATGTCTACATGTAGAAAAAAATGCAATTAGATTTATATTTATCTCCCTCACAAAACTCAAATACAAGTAAATCTAAGAGCACAATATAACAGCAGATACACTAAATCTATTAGAAGAGAAAGTGGGAAAGAGCCTTGAACTCATTGACAAAGAAGACAACTTTCTGAACAGACACCGATAGCTCAAGATCTAAGCTCAACAATTAATAAATGTGACCCCTTGAAAGTGAAACGCTTCTGTAAGGCAAAGAACACTATCAATAGAATGAAATGAGGGTCTACAGATTGAAAAAAGATCTCCACCAATCCTACATCCCACAAAGGGCTTAAATTTAAAATTATAATAAACTCAAGAAATCAAACACAAATAAAAAATTAACCCAATTAAAAAAATGGGACACAGAACTAAACAAAAAATTCTCAAAAGAGGAATCTCAAATCGCCAAGAAGCACTTAAAGAAATGCTCAACTTCCTTAGCAAACATCAGGGAAATGCAAATCAAAAAGACTCAGATTCCATCTCACACTGGTCAGATTGGCTAAAATCAAAATCTCAAGTCACAGTACATGCTGGCAAGTATGTGGAGAAAGGAGAACACTCCTCCATGGACTGTGGGAGTGCAAACTTGTACAACTACTTTATTTGTAACAGCCAGAAACTGGAAAAAAAAAATTGATGTCCCTCAACTGAAGAATGGATAAAGAAACTGGTACATTTACACAATGGAATAATACTCAGCCATTAAAAAGAAAGAAATCATGAAATCTTCAGGCAAATGGATAGAACTAGAAAAGATCATCCTGAGTGATGTAACCCAGACTCAGAAAGACACACATGGCATGCACTCACTTATAAGGGGATTTTAGCCATATTCTACACAGACCCAAGAAGATAAGTAACAAGTAGTGTCCAAGGGAGAATGAATAAATATCACTTGGAAGGGGACATAGAATGGAACAAGGTTGGAGAGGGGGTGCAGAAAGGTAAGAAGGTGGAGATCAGACCTGAGGAGAGAGAAGGCAAGAGGATGGACAGAAGGCCTGTAGAGAAAAGAGAAATCAAGGGTAGGTATATCTTTGTGACAAGCTGGAGATCTAAGTCAGGGTAGGCTCCTAGGAGGATATGAAGGGGACTCAAGCAGAGATTCCTAGTAGCAGAGACCAGAAAGACTGAAAAGGACACCCTCTAACTAGACTTGTCCCCTAGCAGAGGGTGGGAAACACCACCCACTCACAAAAACTTCGACCCCAAATTTACCCTGCCTACAAGATGTGCAGAGATAAAGTTAGAGCAGATAGAGCAGAGATTGGGGGAAATGCCCAACCAATGCCTGGCCCAACCAAAGACCCACCCTATCAGAGAGTGCCGACCCCTGACACTGTGAAGGTACTCTGCTAAGCTTGCAGACAGAGCCTGTCAGAGTTGTCCTCTGCGAGACCCTACCCAGCAGCACCTCGAAACAGATGGT